TTGGGGAGAATATTCATTTTTACAGTGTTTATCCTACTTAGTGGAGATAATGGAAGAGCCGCCCATCTTAAAAAAGCTGACTTCATGTATGAAACTAACGGTGTAAAATGTGCTGCTTTTAAGGCAGAATAAGAAAGGGTAACATTAACATCAAGATACTTGAATTTAGAACTCTCCAAGTGGAAAGGTATGTCATTCGGTTTTAATTTTTGGGCAGATTGATTTATGGGTAAACATTCACTCTTCTGCAGATTTAGTTTATACCCAGAGAATTTCCCAAAATCATCTAACAGATGTATTATCACAGGAATAGATGCAATTGGATCGGAAACGTAGAGTAATAAGTTGTCAGCGTATAGGGCTAATTTATGTTCAATTACCTTGCGGATTATACCTTGAAATACAGGAAGTGTTCTAAGCATTATTAAAAGGGGCTCAATAGCTATGGCAAAAAGTAAACCTACCTGGCCCTACGTGAAAAATTCCCCCCCTCCTGTTAAATCATGAAAGAACTGTGATTAACCACATTATTTTAGAAAGCCAAGTAAAATTTCACTAGCCACACCCAGGCCTGATTACTGCCAGACCTGTTGAATCAAGAAATCACTTAAATAGAACCTGTCTGACAAAGCGAAGCATGCTTAAAGAGCGACACAGCATGCCGATCTAAAGAAATTCAAGAACAGATGAGAAACAATAGTTGACATGCATCAGTCTGGAAAGGATTATAAAGCCATTTCTAAGGCTTTGGGACTCCAGTGAACCACGATCAGAGCCATTATCCACAAATGGAGAAAACTTGTATCAGTGGTGAACCTTCCCTGGAGTAGCCGGCCAACCAAAATTACTCCAAGAGCGCAATAGGCGCGTTCCCATTACCCTTCAAATTGTGAAAATTGAAATTGAAAATACACTTAATGGAAACGTGTCAATTTCGCAAAAACTCCCATATAAATCGCAAAAAAGTTTACACGCTAGCATGAGGTGGTTTTTCAGGCAATGCAAAAAAGGAATAATTCGCAAAACTACAATGGAAACGTCTTTTTCGAATTTACAGATCACATGGCGTATGTAAAAAGTCATATGATCATTCTTCAAAGTACTATAACCTCCAAGAAACACGTCATAAGTGGCCGCGCTCCAGTATAAGGGGCTTTCCCTACCATTAATGCTTAGACAATTTACACTGCACACGTCTGCGGTGCAGTGTGGCTCTGATACAGTCACTGAAGCTGATTGTGGCCACTCAATGCTTTTGTTTATGTTTTTATACAGGCTATGGTTTATTCCAGCCGCGTCACACCCGTTTCTGAAGCGGCTCTCTTTGCTGCTTCTGTAAAGATACACACATAAGCCTCCTTTGAATAAATATAGCCAAAATCCGTCAAAATCCCACTAAAATCCGTTGCCATGACTTATCGTGAGAGGCAAAATCTTACGTTTTAGTCGCATAACATTGGTTAATGGAAACGCCGTCATTTCGCAATACTTTTTTATCGACATTTATAAAATATCGCCAAAGTTTTGTGCAAATCTGTAATGGAAACGCGCCTAATGACTCATCCAGGAGGTCATAAAAGAACCCAGAACAACATCTAAAGAACTGCAGGCCTCACTTGCCTCAATTAAGGTCAGTGCTCATGATTCAACAATAAGAAAGAGACTGGGCAAAAATGGCATCCATGGGAGAGTTCCAAGGCAAAAGCCACTGCTGACCAAAAACAGTTTATTGGGTGAGGGGACTGTGACGATTTGTTAATCTAATGAATAACTGATAATCAAATGAAAAATTGTCTAATCTAATGAATAACTGATAATCAAATGAAAAATTGTGTGTTTGATTGGTCCAGACGCTACACCATGAATTCTGCCCTCTATCAGAAAATCCTGAAGGAGAATGTCCGGCTGTCAGTTTGTGACCTCAAGCTCAAGCGCACTTGGGTTATGCAGAAGGACAATGATCCCAAACACACCAGCAAGTCCACCTCTGAATGGCTCAAGAAAAACAAAATGAAGGTTTTGGAGTGGCCAAGTCAAAATCCAGACTTAAATCCGATTGAGATGCTGTGTCATTACCTTAAACAGTCCATTCATGCTCGAAAACCCTCGAATGTGACTGAATTCAAACAATTCTGCAAAGAAGAGTGGGCCAAAATTCCTCCACAGCGATGTGAAAGACTCATTGCAGTTATCGCAAGCGCTTGATTGCAGTTGTTGCTGCAAAGGATGGCACAACCAGTTATTAGATTTAGGGGGCAATTACTTTTCACGTAGTGCCAGGCAGGTTTGGACAGCTTTTTTCCCTTAATACATTAAATCATTATTTCAAAACTGCATTTTGTATTTTCTCGGGTTATCTTGGTGTAATATTAAAATTAGTTTGATCCGAATCATTCAAGTGTGACAAATATGCAAAAAATAAAAAACAGGAAGGGGGCAAAACCTTTTGCACACCACTGTAAATATGTACACATGGATGGGTGCTCTATCATGACTATAAAGTTTAAGTCTGCTATGATGCTGCATCTCATTTTCACACAACTGCAACAGAGCCCAAGATACTATAGGCTGAGAAAGCCCGAACAAGTGTCATGTTTAAAGTCTGTGGTCATGCGTGTCAGATGAATGAGAGCATTCTGATTTTATTGCCTTTGGGAATAAAGATGGCAAAGAACACATGAAGCACTGGGTGTGTTTTAAAATGTACAGAACATTCTGTCAAACTAGAAAACAAAATGCTGAGTAAGCTATTTGCTTTTCTTTTGTGGTTGATGTACACTGGATGTACAATACCGACTTAGTCATACAGTACTTCCATGGAAAGTTCAAACTTTTTTAATCCATTTAGTGTTGACAGGCTCTGAACTGCAGAATCATTGTCTCTGTTTAAAGTTAGGATTCAGTGACCTCAGACACAATTATTGGACTTAAGTTTTACATGTCTTAGTCATGTGACCCAGCAAAGTGTTGTGAAAGACATTTTGTTCCAGGGAAGGTTGCGTAACAACACAATATATTTTGCCAGGTGTTGACTCATAATGTGACATATTATGTTATGTTACCCTGAATTTAAAATATTTGGGTACTTTCTGAGACAAATTTATGATAACTGAATTAACTATACAACAGAATGTTTGTTCAAAAATAAACATTTTATGGATCACCAGTTTAATAAATACAAAACGGCAAACTGTTTCTTTATAGAACATTATTTTATCAAAATTGTTTTGTTTGTTTAAATAGGCACGAATATTAATTGACTAAGACTAAATTTAAACACTACACCATAAAAATTAAAGACACCATTTGGGGTTCTTGATCACCTCACTGACAGAATTATCTGATCTGACAAACCTCTAGGGATCCTTTTGTTCTCTGAGGAACTTGGAACCCACAAGTTCCTTGGAGACCTTTAACCCTATTTAAGCCTTGTATTATATCTGATACGTTTCCAAGACCTCTAAATTATCATGATCTTTGTTTAAAAAAAAAAATAATAATAATAGTACACAATCTACTACCAAAGGCCTCTTAGTTTTTTTTAATTTTTTTTATAAAGTAAACCTACAAATAACATTTCTAGAAAACGCGTTTCAATATGTAAATATCATACATCTTTAAGTGATTATTATTATCCAATATTATGAGCCATATAAACCTGGTGTATTAAATATGATACTCAACTTTTTTTTTCCCAATAGATTGTTAAATATTTCAATAAACTAGTCAATTAAAATAATAATAATAATAATAAATAACTCAAATTAATAACTAGTCCAGACTTTTTAAAGGTTTATTAAACTCGTGCGGAGTTTGTGTGAGCCTTGTATTATATCTGATACGTTTCCAAGACCTCTAAATTATCAACATGATCTTTGTTTTAAAAAAAATAATAATAATAATAGTACACAATCTACTACCAAAGGCCTCTTAGTTTTTTTTAATTTTTTTTTATAAAGTAAACCTACAAATAACATTTCTAGAAAACGCGTTTCAATATGTAAATATCATACATCTTTAAGTGATTATTATTATCCAATATTATGAGCCATATAAACCTGGTGTATTAAATATGATACTCAACTTTTTTTTTTCCCAATAGATTGTTAAATATTTCAATAAACTAGTCAATTAAAATAATAATAATAATAATAAATAACTCAAATTAATAACTAGTCCAGACTTTTTAAAGGTTTATTAAACTCGTGCGGAGTTTGTGTGAGGTGAAGTGTGCTGTGCTTGTGATTGTTTCAATATGTAAATATCATACATCTTTAAGTGATTATTATTATCCAATATTATGAGCCATATAAACCTGGTGTATTAAATATGATACTCAACTTTTTTTTTCCCAATAGATTGTTAAATATTTCAATAAACTAGTCAATTAAAATAATAATAATAATAATAAATAACTCAAATTAATAACTAGTCCAGACTTTTTAAAGGTTTATTAAACTCGTGCGGAGTTTGTGTGAGGTGAAGTGTGCTGTGCTTGTGATTATACATTCGGTTTATTTACTCCTTGGAACCAGTTGTCTTTATTCATACATTTCTGTAAGTGTTGATTTGTCTTGTAAAATGTTTAATGTGAGCTTATTTTATACCTTCTTTAACGTAACTGACCCAGGGATTCATGTTTAAAGCTTATTGAGATTTTTTTAATCGTATTTTATGTTTAGTAATGAGTGGTAGCGAATAACCTACTTTCTGAACCATGTTACTGAACAGCGTCAAACGCTGAGAGGGTTTATGAAATTCTGAAACTTTGTTAAATGTAAAAGAACATCAAAGACTGTTTTTTCGTGTTCTCACTCATTCGGTTTTACTCTCGATAGTTTTTAGTTGTTACAACTATCACAATGGACATGTTTTTTTTCCTGTTGAGAGTAACGTTAACTTTTCCAAGATGGCCCTTTCCCGTCTTTCTCAACTGTACGTCGAGTTTTGTACCCACGTGAATTGCGCTAACATGATCTGTTTCCTTTTTTTAGGGTGTCTTTTATGAGAAATCAAAAGCAGTGGAAGCCAACGCTAACAGGCCAGCGTTTTAAGACTCGAAAGAGAGGTTTGTTTTTATTTTTAAGGGGACCGGGGCAAGTTGTCATGCATACCTTAGTGGAAGTTAAACTTAACAGCCATTGACGTGCCACATGTGCTAGCTTGCCCTGAACCATTACTTACAATATGCCCTTGAAAATGTTCTGAAAACACAATTTCACTATGTAGTTACTACTTGGCTGAATTTTGTGTAATATCTGGCAGCATTACAAAATTCCAGAATTAGCTGAATATAATTCAGCTTTCCTAATTAAGATAATTTAAGTAGATGTTTGAAATGATATTAGTAAGCTAATGAATGTTCTTTTTGCCTAGGCCTTGTGACCCCTGGTCCAGACACTCTACATCTCATTTTCTTCTGCCTCCTTCCTTTTCAACAGATGAAGAGGAGAGATTTGACCCTACACAGTTTCAGGAGAGCATTGTACAAGGATTAAATCAAACTGGCACTGATTTAGAGGTGGTTGCCAAGTTCCTAGATTCCTCTGGAGCCAAGCGCGATTATTGTCGCCATGGAGAAACCCTGTTTGATATCCTGGTAGCTGGTGGAATACTGGGTAAGAGGGTGTGGAGTTCTTGGATCTCCTTTGTTTCGGTTGTGAAGCATAGTTTAACTAGAGCTTTTCCATTTGACTCTGTTCCCATTTGCTCCGGGAGGTGCCTTATCTGACGACATGACTCGGACTAACTTCTGTCTCTTCACAGCACCAGAAGATGTTAAGACCATGAAAGCATATGCTCAGGTATTTAAAGTTTCTTAGTAATGTGCTTCCAGAACAGGGTCTAAAGATAAAAATGGGGTCTAATGGAGTTAATATTATCAAATTAACTCTTAAGCTTGCCCGATTTTTAGGTTAACAAGTTAATTCTCCAGGTACTAAACAAGTACCTGGAGAAAGGGTTTGAAGAGGAGATTAAAAAGGTAATTTGGACCTGATTTTTAGGTTAACAAGTTAATCCGGCATTAACAAGTTAATTCTCCAGGTACTAAACAAGTACCTGGAGAAAGGGTTTGAAGAGGAGATTAAAAAGGTAATTTGGACCTAAAATCTCAGCCTATAACACTTTAACTTGAGTTAAAAATCATAGTGACTTTTTTTCCCCATCCCAGCTGCTCCCGTTTTTAAAAGGGTTCAGTGAGTCTGAGCGTAACATCACGTTCACCATATACATATATATATAATAAATAATTCCAGTAAGTTCAGGCAGCCAAAACTTCAAATACCAATGATGGTATAAAAATGTCAAAAATATCAATAGCCACTATATGGCTGTAGTACTCAATGACTGCATATAGGCTGAAATCTATAAACCTTTGTTGTAACAAACTTTACCTCTTAGGTTATAGATTTTATCACAAGTTAAATTTGTAGAATTATTAAAAAAAAATGTTAAAAAGAATTATTAAAAAAAAAAAAGTTGGGTGAGACTATACAAAGACACCAAAATATGCTTACAGACAAATCTGACCATGCTGTAAGGAAGAGACAATTTATTTTCTAATAATTATATTTCTAATATTTTTTTGGGGTGTATGTTCAGATGGCAAACTTAGAAAAAGTAGCCAAGTTTTGTAACGCTCAGATTAAAGGGGTCATATAACTTTGCTAAAAAGAACATTATTTTGTGTAATGAAATGTGTTTATGCGGTTTAAGGTAAAAAAAATAAAATACAATTATTTTCCACAATGTACATTGTTGCTCCTCTAAGCCCCGCCTTTCTGAAATGCGTCGATTTTTACAAAGCTCATCGGTCTGAAAAGTGAGGTATACGCTGATTGGCCAGCTATCCAGTGCGTTGTGATTGGCCGAATAACTCAAGCTCGTGACAGAAATGTTACGCCCCTTACCATATTGTGATGCCTTGTCCCGGTACGACGAGACAAAAACAATAAAACCCATTACAAACGAGGCATTTGTTGTATCCAGTGGGGACATAATTACTGATTATAATGACTTACACGGTCTTTTTAAGTGTTGCGTATCACGCCGCGTAAACATAAAACCATGTCTGCATTTGTGATCGGAGAAATGACAAACTACAAACGCTACTCTACACTGCTCAAAACTCGCGTTTGAATCGTCAGTGGCAAATTCTTTAAATATTAAGACGTACTTACAGGTTGTGAGTCAGAAGCGCCAGGCTGTGCTTGCAAAGTTGGAACTGCAACACTTTATAGAAACAGCCTTTGAGCACAGCCTTCCCAGGATCAAGAAACAGTCCTCCGTAAAATGCACTGCACACATCTGAATATTTGGGTTGAACTGTTGTGGAACAGTGTTGTAAATAGAACTTAACCACTGAGTTCTACTTGTGTCTACTTTTGGAAGGCCAAACAAAGTAGTTTCGCTTTTACAATGAAACACAGCATCTCCACGACATGGCGGCGGTGGCAGCATCAATACTACAGCGAGAATCAAAGTTACGCCTTCTTTCTTTGCGTGAACATTTGGGCGGCGTTATGCAAATCTTCCCACACAGTGATGTAGACATGTGGGGGCGTGTTTAAACGAGGCGTTTTAGGAGGATGTGGACGAGTCTTAACTTTTATAAAGAATCTCTTTGGTTTTGAGACTTTAGTCTTTGCAACTTTAGGAATCTTATCTATGCTCGAACAGCTTGTAACATTCCAAAGAGAAAGGAAAACTTGAAATTGCATCATATGACCCCTTTAAGGAAACTATTTAAAAAAAAAAAATCCCAAAGGATGCTTGAGGGTTAATAAATGCTGCAAAAATATATTCTTCATTGCTGGATCATGTTACTTAATGCATTAATGTTAACAAATTAACCTTATTGTAAAGTGTTAGTTATTTCTGAGTCCCTGCTGCTCAGTGCTTGTCATTTAACTTGTTAATCGTTGATATTCCCGTCTTGTGCGGGTCCAGTGAGGTCTTGGGCTTTACTAATTTCCTGATTATTCTCTTCATAACTGTAAAGGTCTTGGCCTAGAACACAAAAAAAGTAGTTTGGTCACAAAACAGTTGCTACAATTCATTCTGCTGAGCTCCACAAATTTGTTCCCGTCAAGTACAGTAGATACTAAAGTGGGAAAATTGCATTCTTGCATTCCGAATGGCAGTTTCTCAACAAAAATATCTGGATGTGCTTTACCCCATTTCTCACTCTATTCTACTGTTAAAATGTTAAAAAAAATGTGTGCATTCTTTGAGTATCATTTCATCAAAGCTAAATGTATAACTTTTAATACATACAGATTTCCTTGAGAGATTTTTGTATGATCAAGTTATGTTTCTCTTATTTTACTCATGAATTGAAAAACCCCATTGTAAAGACCCATATGAATATCTCGAGAGAACCCATGGTGAATTTATCTTCCTGGGTTTTGATGCCTTAGCTGCAGCACTATTTTAAGGGTCAGTGAAAAGCAAAATGAAAAAGTCTAATCTGCCCCAAAATAAGCTCTTAACTCTTAAAGGTAAGAGTCATGACCTGAAGACACCTACATGCCAATATTCAGTTACAGCCATAGCACCACCAGCTGGCAGAAGGAAGTTTGGCACATATAAATGACTTTGACATATCCCTCCTATTTTTTTCACTTTAAAAGCATATTGCCCTCCATTCGCTGTTTTCCGACGGCCACCGGGTGGCGGTGAGCCCAGGTGTGAGGGCCCTTTCATCTCTGCTTGCAGCTTTAATAAATTTTACATTTTGTTTTTATTTCTGATACAATTTAGTATGATATACACAGAAACATAAGAAATCGTGATTGGAGCAAACTTTTTTTCACAGCACTGTATGAAGACCCGGTGTGGGGGGTGGGTCTACTTACAGTGCTGAGATATCAAATCAAAAAGATCCCTCAATGTTATATATATTTTTTAAGGAATACACTGCCTTTGTAGATGTGTCTGAAATATTTATTTTTCTGTTATAGCTGATGATTATCTACATCCCTTGCAAATCTTGTATATTTTGTTTAAAGTTTTACAATGAAACACAGCATCTCCACGACATGGCGGCGGTGGCAGCATCAATACTACAGCGAGAATCAAAGTTACGCCTTCTTTCTTTGCGTGAACATTTGGGCGGCGTTATGCAAATCTTCCCACACAGTGATGTAGACATGTGGGGGCGTGTTTAAACGAGGCGTTTTAGGAGGATGTGGACGAGTCTTAACTTTTATAAAGAATCTCTTTGGTTTTGAGACTTTAGTCTTTGCAACTTTAGGAATCTTATCTATGCTCGAACAGCTTGTAACATTCCAAAGAGAAAGGAAAACTTGAAATTGCATCATATGACCCCTTTAAGGAAACTATTTTAAAAAAAAAAATCCCAAAGGATGCTTGAGGGTTAATAAATGCTGCAAAAATATATTCTTCATTGCTGGATCATGTTACTTAATGCATTAATGTTAACAAATTAACCTTATTGTAAAGTGTTAGTTATTTCTGAGTCCCTGCTGCTCAGTGCTTGTCATTTAACTTGTTAATCGTTGATATTCCCGTCTTGTGCGGGTCCAGTGAGGTCTTGGGCTTTACTAATTTCCTGATTATTCTCTTCATAACTGTAAAGGTCTTGGCCTAGAACACAAAAAAAGTAGTTTGGTCACAAAACAGTTGCTACAATTCATTCTGCTGAGCTCCACAAATTTGTTCCCGTCAAGTACAGTAGATACTAAAGTGGGAAAATTGCATTCCGTATTGTGGAATGGCAGTTTCTCAACAAAAATATCTGGATGTGCGTTACCCCATTTCTCACTCTATTCTACTGTTAAAAAACAAATAAATGTGTGCATTCTTTGAGTATCATTTCATCAAAGCTAAATGTATAACTTTTAATACATACAGATTTCCTTGAGAGATTTTTGTATGATCAAGTTATGTTTCTCTTATTTTACTCATGAATTGAAAAACCCCATTGTAAAGACCCATATGAATATCTCGAGAGAACCCTTTACCCCATTTCTCACTCTATTCTACTGTTAAAAAACAAATATAAATGTGTGCATTCTTTGAGTATCATTTCATCAAAGCTAAATGTATAACTTTTAATACATACAGATTTCCTTGAGAGATTTTTGTATGATCAAGTTATGTTTCTCTTATTTTACTCATGAATGAAATGAAAAACCCCATTGTAAAGACCCATATGAATATCTCGAGAGAACCCATGGTGAATTTATCTTCCTGGGTTTTGATGCCTTAGCTGCAGCACTATTTTAAGGGTCAGTGAAAAGCAAAATGAAAAAGTCTAATCTGCCCCAAAATAAGCTCTTAACTCTTAAAGGTAAGAGTCATGACCTGAAGACACCTACATGCCAATATTCAGTTACAGCCATAGCACCACCAGCTGGCAGAAGGAAGTTTGGCACATATAAATGACTTTGACATATCCCTCCTATTTTTTTCACTTTAAAAGCATATTGCCCTCCATTCGCTGTTTTCCGACGGCCACCGGGTGGCGGTGAGCCCAGGTGTGAGGGCCCTTTCATCTCTGCTTGCAGCTTTAATAAATTTTACATTTTGTTTTTATTTCTGATACAATTTAGTATGATATACACAGAAACATAAGAAATCGTGATTGGAGCAAACTTTTTTTCACAGCACTGTATGAAGACCCGGTGTGGGGGGTGGGTCTACTTACAGTGCTGAGATATCAAATCAAAAAGATCCCTCAATGTTATATATATTTTTTAAGGAATACACTGCCTTTGTAGATGTGTCTGAAATATTTATTTTTCTGTTATAGCTGATGATTATCTACATCCCTTGCAAATCTTGTATATTTTGTTTAAAGTTCCCATCTGATCAACCATAGGGATATTTTTTAATCCAAGCCTGCATGTTGTTGCTTACAATGTTGCACTTACCAGATTCATTATCATCCATCCATTCTTCTTCATTTTTCTCAGACTCAGCTCCATCTTCATTTATGTCCTGTTTTTTATAGTTCTCGGCAACATGATTGTTTTTGAGGGCCTGGTTAACATCTTCATCTTTAAAAATGAAAAAGAAAAGAAAATGAAATGATACGCGGTTCATGGTTAAAACATGCAAAGAAACAGACAGCTCTCCTTGGATGCCTGCTAAATGTGTGTTACTGCGTAAAATCTTCAATCAACGTTAATCAAATTTATGCTGTAGATAAAATTGTATTTAAGTGTTGATTTAATTGAACAGGGCTGGCAGTAATCAGGTCTGTTTGTGTAGTCCAGCTGAATCCCGTTGTGAATGCAGTTTCATAGATGTAGGAATTAGTAGACCTAACTACAGGGGCAAATATTTCACACAGGCCCAGTTGGTATTTGAAAACATTTTTGATTGACAGCC